TTTTTTCTGTCCAGAGAGTCAGGTATAGATTGGACAGAGGTGTCTCTGGCCTGATGAAAATCCCTTTATGTTTATATTTAGATGACAACCAAAATAAATCTATCCTTGAGCTTGTCCCTGACCAGCAGGTAGTCACTGCTCTATCAGCTTATCAGAACTTTATTAAATGAGCTATTGAGCTGCCTATAATTTAACCATTAATATGATCAGAGATCCGAGAAGGATACATTTTATACAGTTTCTGAAACTATTAAAAAATGACAGGGTCCAGTCCATATACAGTTAGCCATACCCAAGTCTCCATTAGCTGGCAGAAGTATTAAAGAACAGCATCAATCTTTACCAGGCCTACAAGGAGAGAGGTTTTTTTTTTTCTCTCTTTGGAAGAGGGATATGGAAAAGACTGGCCTTTTTTGTCTAGGCAAAAGGGATATACAATCAATTCTCCAATATCCAGTCAATTGTCCACTGTCTAGGCCAGGTCCTGGCAGCAGGTGTGCATCGGGGCATCTTGCCCCCCGGTCAGCATTGTGAAGACATTGAGGTGTCCTGTAATCTTCTTTGGAGACTTTGGGTCTGTCAGGATCTGGGATCCTCTGTCTTATAAGTTTTTTAGTCAACATTTTAAATATTCTGTAGATGTCTGAAAGCATCAAGAGTGTTGTCTAGTTAAATCTGAATAGATACAATGACATTACTGTAGGATCTGTCTGGAGAACTGGATTTAAACTGAGAGGCTATGGAGGGATGTTTTACTCAGAGCCCTCCAGCCTGACTGTAACTGGTTTTAACTTAGCAAACAGACAGAGCATTTAAAGAGACAGAGTAACTTAAAACTTACTGGCAAGAATGTAGACCTCCTGTAGGTGGAACAGGCAGGATTTTTACATGAAATGCGTGCCCTACCAGGCTCTGGAAAGGCACGACATTCCAAAAACAAGCCATGTGGAACAGAGCCAGTGAAACAAGAAAACTGTCAGTGACCAAAATAAAAGGCAAAAAGGTAAATTAATTACATCCGGCAGCAGAGTTTGTTGGCAGAAGCTGACTAGGCTGAGGGAAGGAGGTAACTTATAGAAAAAATAAAATTATGTCCTTAAAACCATTATTACCTTGGTGACTGTTAAGTTACAAAGTTTAGAAGAGAAAACTCTAATTAACATAGTAGATTTCATTGCTCCTTAAAAGGGGGGGAGGCACAAGTTAGAAATAGGAGTCTCGGGCTGGAGAGATGGCTCAGAGATTAAGAGCACTGACTGCTCTTCCAGAGGTCCTGAGTTCAATTCCCAGCAACCACATGGTGGCTCACAACCATCTGTTATGAGATCTGGTGCCCTCTTCTGGTGTGCAGATATACATGGAAGCAGAATGTTGTATACATAATAAATAAATAATATATATATATATATATATATATGTATATATAAAGACTGTGTCACATTTAAAAAAAAAGAAAGAAAGAAATAGGAGTCTCTTGCTCTACCAACTGATGGGCATTTCCAGGCCTGCATCTCTTTTTGTCAATTGGCCATGTATGAAGGGTTGGTAAAATGTACTTATTTTTTCCTGGTACAAGTTATGTGAAAAAGTTAAGCAACCACATGTCTGATAGAGAACCTATATAAAATTTAACAGTGACCTGAACAAATGATCCAAGTAGAAAATGGGCAAAAGCCATGAACAGACATTTTATTACCAAGGAAATACAGATGGCAAATGACTAGCACACAAAAGGAAGGTTAACATCATATTAACCCATTAAAACCTGTACGCTGGCCATTCTGCTTGAGTTGGCTGTTAGCTGCCCAAGGTGAGGTGCAGTGCAGAAAGACTATGTCCAGGCACCAGGATCCAGCAGGGGATTACTGACCCTCAGACAGAAGCTGGGGTGATCCATCTGTCATGGGAGCCTCTGTGTGCAGCCATCACAAATGACCCATATATGTTTTGTGGAAGTAAAAGCATATTTAAAAAAAAAACCATAATGAATCTTTGACTTTTAGAGCGTCCCAAAGTATATAGACTGCCATAATTAGGAAGGCGGGAGAAGAGCAGCGCTGGTGAGCAGAGTCTCCTTGGCTGCCATGTTTCTAAAAGAAAAACTTTTTCAATGTTTTTAGCCACAATCCCAGATTCTCTGTTTCATGTCCTTTCAATGTGTCAGGCAGAGATCTAGAGAAGAGGAGGGTGTCTGTCCCATGTTAGGTTCCAGTCAGGTCCATATTGTCGGTACCGTCAAGACAAGACAAACAAACACAGCACTTAGACAAAAGAAAGGGGCCCAAGACAGATTATCAGAGTTCTGCAGAATTCAGAGGATTGGCTTTGGTCAGGCTCTATCAGGCCAAAACCCATACAGATTGGATGAAGGCCTACCAGGGGCTCATCGTCCTCATAACTTTCAGAAAAATAGATGGGATCCAGGGGTCCCTACAGGATGGCCCCAGATGGGCCCCTGTCCTGACGAGGAAGCCGGATGTCTCCTGGTTCCTCCAGGTCCACCTAATAGTTTGTCTGCCTAGGTACTTGTGACCTGAGTCACAGAGTTTGAGTCAGAGATGCTGGCCAGAGAAAAAGGAAAACTAACAGAGAACAATCTAACTTACCCAGAGGGGTGATGAAAACCTCTGGGGTCCAGAGGGTCTCTGGGGATCCTGGGACAAGCCCCAAAATGTTGTGTCCAAGCCACAAGGATCCCCAAAGAGACCAGGGAGACAGACCACCGATGCAAATGCACAAGGTTTACTAAATTATCTATCCTGAGGGAGGGACCCCGTCTAGCAAGCTGACACAGCAGCCTCCAGAGGGGGTGAAGTTCCCTGTCTACTACTAGGTTTTAAAGAATAAAGTTACAGGATTACATCAGTAGGTTAGGGTTGGTTTCTGATTGGTTGACATTTGGGGAACAATCAAAAGATTTCTCAAAGTCATATTTTGGCATGAAACACCTGTGTACCAGGTATTCTCATTGGTCAGTGCTGAGAGAGAACATTCTGTGGTTTTTATGGCTTTGTCTTATTATTTACAGATGGCCTGCTGTCCATAGATACCAATAGTTTTCAGAACTATATCCTGGAAAATATAGGGGAGGTTTTGGTCTCCCCTGGAGTTTCTTTTGTGGCCAAACAGTTCCCAGGAACCAAGTACCTAGGAGGCTGGGGGTGGGTGGGGGGTGCATCTGGAGTTTCTTTGTGTTCAGTTCTGGCCCTAGACTCTGGGAGGCCAGAGGATCTAGAGTTTCCTTGTGTCAGAGGCCTATGTGTCTTTTCTGTAGCCTGTCATGGCTGCTAAAGCAGGGGCTGAGTGAGGGTCTGGTCCCTTCATTCCTAGAAGTGAAGCCTTTGAGTTTAGTTTAACCCTTTCATTCTTCTTCCCACTCCCTTGATGCCACTGACCTTTACCCCGTATACAGCAAGCCAAATGTGTGTATTTAGTTAAGTACATCTTACTCATACTGTGCCCTAGCCGGCAGTAAATATGTGGCTACAAAGTAAGAGATTTCAGCCCTGTGATTAGTTCTTTTTTTGTTTTGTTTTGTTTTCGAGACAGGGTTTCTCTGTGGCTTTGGAGGCTGTCCTGGAACTAGCTCTGTAGACCAGGCTGGCTTCAAACTCACAGAGATCGGACTGCCTCTGCCTCCCGAGTGCTGGGATTAAAGGCGTGTGCCACCAACGCCGGGATTGTGATTAGTTCTTAACAATATGAAATCAACTGAATATATCGAGATACCTAGGATATCATTTTTCAGTTGTATACCAGATTTTGAGTAAGCTGCCACCTTTATTATATGGATTGTAGTTATAATCTTATTCTTTATAAGTTCTTAAAATAAAATGATTACTACCTAACTATTCAAGTATTAAGACTAAGTTTATTCTTACTGGCCATTTCTACATGTACTTTTCTTTTAAAGGAGCTGGGAGTTTTAGATTACTTTACTGATACTTTGATATTGGAAAAGTAACTGAGTGTGCGCATCCTGGTGCCATAGAAATGTTTATGTCCTATCTGTGTTCCTATAAGGTTTTTAATGTCATTTTTTTTTTGGTTTTTTTCAAGGCAGGGTTTCTCTGTATTTTCTTGAAGCCTATCCTGGAACTCCCTCTGTAGACCAGGCTGGCCTTGAACTCACAGAGATCTGCCTGCCTCTGCTTCCCAAGTGCTGGGATTAAAGGCATGTGCCACCAATGCCCAGCTTAATGTTATCTTTAAAAAGACCATTTTCCAAGTTCTTAAGTTCCTTGGAATATATTTATCTTTTTGGTATTGAATAAGCAATAATCATTAACCTTAGTGAGTTCCTCCTGCTTATTTGGAATGACTGCAAAGGCAGCCAGAGATAACTGAAGAATCTGGTTTCTGTAACAGATCAGAGAAATTTACTTTTTCTGTAGAGGCCTTTGTTCCCAGTAAACTCTGGCATTGACTAACAAGGCAAAAATTAAGCGTTCCCACAAGAATAAGCATAGCAAAGGTTAGAGAAGCCTGAAGCCCATGAGTTCACTAAAGTCAGCCCAGGAGTCTGCAGTGTTGTATCCATAGGTCTTTGCCAAATGGATGGGATTCTCCAAAGGGCCTTGCCATCTAAGGAGCTCCATTTGTAACACAACTGTGCTCTGTTCCCAAGGGTGATGGCATGGCTTCTGCCAGCTATGCAGACCAGGCTGGCCTCAAACTCAGAGAGATCTGCCTGCCTCTATCTCTCGAGTGCTGGCATTAAAGGAGTGTGCCACCACTGCCCAGCTAATAAATGCTTTTTTGGTTTTGATTTTGTGTGGTTTTGGTGGGGAGGAATGGATCTCTTGCCCTGATGCCTTACATATATACCTTCTGATGCAAAAGCTACCATCTTCTTTCTCTCAAACCACCCCCTACACACACACACACACACACACACACACACACACACAGAGTACAAAAATGATAGCTCACACATGTGCTCGAGAGCCTCCAGAGTTAAAGACTAAAAGAAGATGTAAGCCATTGAGAAGTTTCCTTCATCAAATTTATTATTTTTGGAATCCAGAAACAAGCCAAGGCAGGCCTAACTCTCTGCCTTAGGTACAATTTTCTGAAAAATATCCTCAATTTTCTGGCCAATTTTCTTAAGCTTTTCACCAATCTTCAGCCCACCTTTTTGGAGGAGTCCAGCAATCTGGGAACCTTTCTTGACTGGCTGGGGTTGTGTCCCAGGCTGTGTACCAGGAAGAAATGGATTCCTTGTGAGGCTGGTCCCAGGCTACCCACGGCCCTCCCCATCTAGACCAGATATTCTAGACCCCATATCTAGACCCCATCTGGATATTCCCAGAGCCTCTGGGTCCTAGTTCAGCCACTGGGACATGTAGTTGGATCCTTAACCCTGATAAGGAATGAAAACACTGGGGTCTGGGAATGGCAAGAGGCTCCCTGGCATCTGTGTGTACCCTAGAGAATGCCATCAGCGTTAGATGGGCTCAGAGAACCAGGTGGCGCAGGTGACAACCCAGGTAAGGTCTTCAGCCTGAGTCCTGTTATGACTCAGGGAGGCCTGAGAATCTACATCCCTCACAAGTTCTGGCTGAAAAAACAAAGGTTTGTTTGTTTTTTGTTTGGTTGGTTGGTTTTTATTTTTGTTTATTTTTTTTTTTTTGAGACAAGGCTTCACATGTATCCATGTCTGTCCTCGAACTCTCTATGTAGATAAGGCTGGCCCAGAACCCATAGAGAGCCTCCTGCCTCTGCCTCCCAAGTGAGAGGCAAACTTGGAGAGTCACTGCTCTAAAGGAGGGTAGAACCAGTCTTGGAGTTGAAGTTCAGGCACAAGGGAGGACCAAGGGATGAAATGGAGCTTTCCCTACTCTGGGTAGGCGCAGGGAGCAGCCCATGCAAGTGATAATCATGTCCCATGCCCACATCCCCCCTGCATCCCACTTACCCCTTGACAGTCGATGTCAAAAGACTCTGTGTCCTGGCTCCGGGTGATTGTCCCCACACACCGCTTCACTACCTGAAAAGAGAGAGCTCAGGGTCAACTAGCACCCAGTTGCCATAACCTAAACCCTAGCCCGTGGATGGGAATATTCCCTCAGGACTCCTCGTTTATTTCTTCAGCCCAGCCCGCTGCCTTACCCCATGGTCCCTGAAGTTACATTGCTCCGGTATTTGATATGTTGTCTTTTCACACACTGTCTCCTTGATTCTGAAGTTCACATACATTGGGGAATCTGAGTCTTCATCCTGGTCATGGGAGAAAGTGGAGAGACTAGTCTCAGGCCCATTCTCCACTGCAAGGATCCGTCTCCCTGACAACCACTAACAGAGTGGCCTTCCAACATTGCATGCTGGTGCTGAAGCTGGGGTACAGAGAGGAAGAAGAGAGGAGCCCCTTCGTTCCTCCCTCACATGCAGTGAATAGGAACAGCCCTCAGCCAGCTACAATGACGAGCACCTCCCTTCAGGAAGGGGAGAGGGAAACCAGGGCCTTTCTAGGTAGGGGGATCAGGCACATTCTTTGGGACCTCAAGGCTAGGCAGAATCTCTCATTAGATATGGAAAAAATTAGAGCAAAGGAAGCCAATTCCTGGGAACAACGATTCTACCCTGTCCCTAGAATAAAGGTCCCAGGCATCACTAGAATGGGGTTGAAGGCACTTCTGCCACAGCAGGTGTTCCAAGGCTGGAAGCTGTCAATCTGGAAGGAGACACAGATCTAGGGAGTGACCTGGGGAAAGGAGGGAGAGACTACACTGAAAGGGGGAGATGCCTTGGATTAGAGCTGCTCGCCCCAACCTCACCCCTGGGGGCTGAGAATCCATGTCCAGAAAGCGGTAGAGATTGGGGTCCGATGACTGCTGGTTGAAGTTATCCACCGCACGGAGCACAGCCTCTCTGTAGCGGAAGGTCTTAGAGATGGCTAAGGGCAACAGCAGCAGCATCAATGATAGTGCCCGTCGCAGGGAAGAGTGGTCCCTCTGGGTTTGCATGGTTCCCAAGACTGCTTCCTCCAGGCAACAGGGCCCTCCTTTATGCTCAGCCTGAACCTGATGCAAAAGCACAACCAGAAGCTTTCCTGTTCCACCCTGCCACTGGCCGCCTGCCAGGGTGTGGGCTGGGACTTGCTTCAGACTTTTGTTGCTTCATGAGGCTCTGGGCAGTGAGTGAAGTTGGGCTGGCACGCCAAATGAAGAAATTATTTCCCCTTCCTCTTGAGATGGCCTTGACTTCACCTGGACCCCAGGGGCACTGTCATACCCAGTATTGCTCAATGGGGTAAAATTCCCAAGAAAGGAAGAGCCAGTGACTATCCTAAGTCTGTCTCCTCCTTGGGAATAGGTCTGGATTTAGTGTGTGTTACTAAATCTCCAGCTCTAGGCATTGTCTGACTTGCTCAGTGGACAGACATGTGACCTTTGATGATAAGTGACAGTGGCTACCCCACCCAGAGACCCACCTCCCAAGGAAGAAGTTTCCCCTGCCCATCAAGATCATAATACCCTGTTCTTTGACAGTTGAAGGGTTTGGAAGCACGGGGCCAAAAGGCGGTGGGGACTGGCATCCAAGCACTGCCAGTTGAGGCATGGACCATGACCTCCTAAACACAGCACTAGGGCCAGACACAGCAGCAATGACACCCTCTCCTGGATCCTTCTCAGCTGCCTTTCTCAGGATAAAAATGCCCCTGTCTCCTGCAAATGTGGCCTTTAGCTCAAGCCCACAAAAAGTCATCTACACTGACTGAGTCAGCATTCCTATTTCTCTCACACTTAAACTCCTGCTCTTTATGGATCAAGTGACTACCCTCCAATTGTGTTTTAGTGCATGAAGGCTTAGGTTACCCCTGGGTCCCCTGGAACCATCGCCACCCTATCATCTTTGCCTTGCTTCTTGCCTATGTCTCCTTCAAGGGCTGTTTTCTTTATTTCTTTCTCTTTTTAAAATATTTATTTATTATGCATGCAACATTCTGCCTCCATATTTGCCTGCCCACCAGAAGAGGGCACCATATCTCATTACAGATGGTTGTGAGCCACCATGTGGTTGTTGGGAATTGAACTCAGGCCCTCGGGAAAACCAGCCAGTGCTCTCAACCTCTGAGCCATCTCTCCAGCCCCCCCCCCAGGGCTGTTTTCTTAACATCGAGGGCTTGAGGGTTGCATCTAGGACCAATACTGTCCCAGGATTCAGGTCTTCTTCAGGATATCTATCACCTCTCAAAATGTAAGTTACAATGAATAGGTCTAAGTTCATGATTCCTATGAATGCCAGGTATGGTGGCTCATGCCTATTGTTTTTAACACCTCATAGGCTGAGGCAGTAAGACTACTATTAGTTCAAAGCCAACCTTTGAATTCTATCTCAAAAATCCCAGAAAAAGAAATGGGAACTGTGGAGTAGTCATAGTCTTGCCTAACCTGTTCACACTGGTGCAGGCTAGTAATCACAGCACTTAGGAAATAGAAGCAGGAAGGTCAGAAGTTCAAGGTCACCCTTGGGCTGCATGAGGGCCTGCCTCAAAAATAAAGAAATATTAACATTTAAAAGAAATGTGTGTCTGTATGAATATATGACATGTCAGCGTGGGAACCTGAAGAAGCCAGAAGGCAATGGATCCCCTGGAGCTGGAGTTACAGGCGATCATGAGCCCCTCTATACTGTTACTGGGAATACTAGTCAGAAGAACAAGTGCTCTTAACCACGGAGCCTTCTTTCCAACCCAACATTATTAATTTTTTTTAAGCCCAAAGAAGAAGAGATTCCCATGGGCCCTCTCTCCTGGTTGCCGAGTCCCTGCTGCATGAGCACTGATCTCAGTGCTGGAGGAGCAACCTGACCATTCCTCTTCCTCCTGGGACACTCTCTGCTCCCACATCATCACCCCGCTTTTCACCACTTTTTCCTCCTATGAGTTGCTACCAAAATCTCTAGATTTCATCTCCCTGAGGTACCGTGCTCCCACAGCCACAGTCCATCCTCCACACAACTAACTGTTGAGGGACTCCCTGAACTCCCTGGGGTCAATTCCACCCCCTACCCGCTTCTCACTTCAGAGCCTGAACACTCTTTTCCCCACAGCTCTCATCATAGCCCCCTGAACTCTGCACGCCAGCACTCAGAGTCACTGAGCCGCTGTCCTACACGGTGCTCTGGGCTTTCTGTTATGGCTGGTTTAGTTGTATTGTTTTTTTTTTTTAATTTAAAAAGATTTTATTTATTTATTATGTATACAACATTCTGCTTCCATGTACATCTGAACACCAGCAGAGGGCACCAGATCTCATAACAGATGGTTGTGAGCCACCATGTGATTGCTGGGAATTGAACTCAGGACCGCTGGAAGAACAGTCAGTACTCTTAACCTCTGAGCCATCTCTCCAGCCCGTTTTGGGGGTTTTTTGTTTGTTTGTTTGCTTGTTGTTTTTGTACGTGTGGTAACTCAAACTGATTGAACTACTAATGCTGAATGATGTCAAGACTGCAATACTTCAATTAAGGCCTTTAGTTTACATTTGGCCTCAATGTAGTTGTAACAGTAGGTTGGTCATATTGTTTTATTATTTTGAGACAGGGTCTTATGCAGCCCAGGTTAGCCTACAACTCTATATGTGGCAGCCAAAGGTAACCCTGAACTCCTGCCTCCAACCTCTAAAATGCTGGTGTTACAGGCATTTACCATCACACTAGCTGTTTGTCATTTTTAATTAGTGAGTGCATGCATGTGTGCACTTTTGTGTGCGAGCCTGTGTGTGGGAGCATGTGTGAGCGTGTAGGTGTCCACCTCCCAAGTGCTGGGATTACAGAGGGGGCAACCACATCCTGTTTAGCTTGGTTGGTTATACTTCCTGTTTGGAAGACACACAATCTTCATCCCCAAATGTCAAATGCATACTAAGCAACGAGCCATTGCAAAATAAAAGCACAACAGGGACCAGGGAGACAGGGGTTCAGTGAGTCCACAGAGCATACGAGCCAGCACTCTCACTTGAGTGCATTCACACATGGGTAACAAACATTTTGGTAGGGTTTTTTGTTGTTTCTCCTGACACGGTTTCTCTGTGTAGCCCTGAATGTCCTAGCACTCACCCTGTAGACCAGACTGGCCTCAAACTCACAGAGATCCACCTGCCTCTGCCTCCCAAGTGCTGGGATTAAAGGCCTGTGCCACCACTGTTGAGTGAAATAAATGTATTTTTAAAATCCCAGCACTCATCAGATCGTGGTGGCACGCACCTTTAATCCCAGCACTCTGGAGGCAGAGGCAGGTGGATCTCTGGTTTACAAAACAAGTTCCAGGACAGCCACAGCAACACAAGAAAAACCTGGTTTTGAAAAGCCAAGAAAAAAAGTCTTAGCCAGGCATGGTGGCATATACCTTTCATCCTAGCATTTCTGTAGGCAGAGGCAGGCAGGTCTCTGTGAGTTCACGTAGTGAGTTCTAGGCCAGCCAGAATTATACAGCGAGACTTTTCTCAAAATACAAAACCAAAACCAAAAAAAATGTAAAGCAGCAATACTTACTGCAAATTAGGCCCTGTGGTCAAATACTCACAGTTGAGACTACTCTCCAATTCACAGGTACAGTGTGCATCCACCACTTAACACGTCAAACAACACTACATGTGAGACAAAAAAATGCCAAAATGGTAGGTTTAAAATGCAAATGTACATACACAGTACAAATATGCATGTGCATTAGCAAGTAAGGGACTCTCAGTGGGATCCACAGCCGAAGACGTCTGAATGCTTTACAAACTTAAATTAGAGGTTTTAAGTGTGTGTGTGTGTGTGTGTGTGTGTGTGTGTGTGTGTGTGTGTGTGTGTGTGTGTGTGTGAGCGTTGCATGTGAGTGCAGTCTCCCTTGAAGGTCAGAGGCACTGGATGCACCTGGAGCTGGAGTTCACAGGTGTTGTGAGCCGCCTGACATGGGTGCTGGGAATCAAACCTGGGTCCCCTGCAATAGCAGTGCGTGCTCTTTACCACTGAGCAATTCCCCAGCCCTGGTTGAAAGACCCCCAGACCCCTAAGAGCCTCAGGATCCCGAGGAGCCCCCAAGACTCAGAAACCAGACCAAGAGCTGCAAAAGCAAGAGGGTTTATTGAACGAATGTGCATTCAGGTGTCAGCAATATCGGGGAAGCTGCACACCCCAGCAAGGGTTACAGGCTCCTTATATAGGAAAAAAACGCAGATCAGCACACAGGCAAGGGGCACAAAGTGATTGATTACAAAGTAGGATCTCATGTTAGAGTGGTCACCCAGGTGTGATCTGCTTTTCTACAAAGGAAAAACCACAGAACGTACCTTGGAAAGTCCTTGATTGTCTGTTGGCCAGCCAGGTGTGACCCAAAGAGGGTTGTCTTGGCGATTGCCCCCGTCTAAACCATAGGATGTGCCTGGGGTTGGGGCAAACTTCCTTGTAATGGGCCAAGGCCTGTGGTAAACTTTTTCTCTCTGTGAACTAAAATCTTTCAAAACTTTTTCTCTCAGCAAACTAAAATATTTCATGGTAAATCATTTTTTAATCATTTGAAAACATACTTTCTTGCATAGACTCCCACTATGCATACAACTATAAATATCACTTTATTAGACAACTATAAATATCACTTTATTAAACAAAAGAAAAAGGTAAGTGTGAGGAAATTTGAAAAGTGCAGGCATTTCTCAACTGTAATTAAAGGCCACATCTTTAAAGAATTATCAATTGTCCTGGATACCTGACACCTCTGGAGAGTGGGAACCTCAGCTGAATGATTGCCAGTAGGTTAGCCTGTGGGCTTGTCTGATCTGTCAGGAGGCACTTTCTTGATTGCCAGCCCGCCTAGGGCAGTGCTATCCTGGGCAGTGGGCCTGGACTATGGAAGGAAGGTGGAGGAACATGAGCCTGGGAGCAAGTCAATAACCACCATCGCTCCATGGGGGCTGCTTCGTCTTCCCGTCTGAATCCCTGCCCTGGCTTCTCTCCATGATAGACTGTTAACTGTAAGATGAAAAACTCTTTGTCCCCAGTTGCTTTTGGTCATGCCATTTATCACAGCAACAAAAAAAGCAAACTAGAACATCATTCATTTGACAGAATTTTTTTAAGTTTAAAGAACTGTTTTGTTTTTGTTTTTTGTTTTTTTTCTTTCGAGACAGGGTTTCTCTGTGTAGCTTTGGAGCCTATACTGGCAGTCGCTCTGGAGACCAGGCTGGCCTTGAACTCACAGAGATCCGCTTGCCTCTGACCCCTGAGAGCTGGGATTAAAGGCGTGTGCCACCAACGCCCGGCTTAAAGAACTGATTTTTTCAACTTTTATAATACAGTTTGTAAATGAAAAATATGTAATAATAATAAACATACATCTTTCATCGAAAAAATGCTAGCCAAGCAGTGGTGGTACATGCCCTTAATCCCAGCACTTGGGAGGCAGAGGCAGGCAGATCTGTGAGTTCAAGGCCAGCCTGGTCTACAGAGTGAGTTCCAGGACTGTTACTCAGAGGAAACTCTGTCTCAAAAAAAGAAAAACAAATAAATAAAATAAAAAAGTTAAAGAGATAGATAGATGTGTCAATCAAGACACATTTTATACCTTACAATTATACTGAGTATAAATTTTAAAAATATTATAGTCTGGCAGGATAATTCAGCAGGTAAAGGAACTTGATTATCTAAGCTCAATGCCTGGAACCCACACAGCAGAAGGAAAGATCACACAGCAACTCCTGCAACTTCATACTTTCACACCTACTATCGCACGCACACACGGGTACACCCATAAAATTAAATCCAACAAAACTTATTTTTAAATGACATTTATTTTTATTTTAGTGTGTGAGTGACAGTCTACACACACACACATACACACACACACACACACACACACACACACGCACGGGTTCAAACGCACACATAAAATAAATTAAATCTAACAAAACTTATTTTTAAATGACATTTATATTTTTATGTGTGTGAGTGACAGTCTACACACACACACACACACTTGCACACAAATGCACACACATGTGTGCCACACGCGTACCTGATGCAGAAGAGGGAGTCAACTCCCCTGGAACTAGGTTTCATGCAATTGGGATCTGCTATTCACGTATTGGAAGCTGAACCTGGGTCATCCGCACGCTTAACGCCTTAGCCATCTCTCCAGCCCCATAAAAAGTTTTAAAAAAAAAATCACATTTTTTGGGCTGGAGAGATGGCTCAGCAGCTAAGAGCACTGGCCACTGTTCCAGAGGAACCAGGTTCAGTTCCCAGCACCCACATGGCAGCTCACAACGCCTCTAACTCCAGTTCCAGGGGATCAGCTGGCCTCTTTCCACGGGCACCGTACACACATGGTACACTGACACACATGGTGATGCGTACACACATAAAGGCAAAACACCCATACATGTTTAGAAAAAACAAAATCACCAGGCCAGCAAGATGGCTCAGCAGGTAGACCCTTGCTCCCAAGTCATATGACCAGAGTTCAATCCCTGGGACCCTGATGGAAAGAAACAACTTGAAAACTTGTCTTCTGATCTTCACTTACACCATAGCACACATGAACAAATTTGTAGATACACACACTCGAATAAATCAACATAGTTTTTCTTTGCTTGTTTTGTATTTTTGTTTTTTGAGACAGTGTCTCTCTGTGTAGCAGTCCTACTGTCCTGGAACTCACTCTGTAAACCAGGCTGGTCTTGAACTCACTGAGATCCGCCTGCCTCTGCCTCCCTAGTGCTGGGATTAAAGGTGTGCGCCACCACTGCCTGGGCTACTGTACATATCTAGGTAAGAGGATGGGCCACTGTAATGGAGAGGTCTAGAGTCCATGAGGCAGATTCTGGTCCCAGCTCCTCCTTCGAGGCCTGAAGTACCTCTTAGGGGCTTGGTCCTACTGGGTGGTACCCTTAGGGGCTTAGACAGGCAAGGCTGGCAGCTTGGGTGAATGTTACTGATTGCACGCTCAGCCCCGGGAGGGTAAAGGAGAAGTGGACTTCTGTGCAACCTGGTTTCACAGTGCAGGTATTGCTCCAGTCACCTCTTGGTCAAGCAGGCTTTGCACATCAGGCCCTTTAAAGCAGCAGGAAAGGGGACAATCCAAGGACATCAAGCCCTATATTGTTCTGCTGGTTCCTTTACTGGAAGCTGGACACGATGGCACACACCTTTAATGCCAGTATTGGGAGGCAGAAGCAGGCAGATCTCTGAGTTCAAGACCAGCCTGGTCTACAGAGTGAGTTCCAGGACAGCCAGGGCTACACAGAGAAATCCTGTCTTGAAAAATAAATAAATAATAAATAAATCACCTGGGAGAAAGGCCTCTGAGAACGTTTATGAGGGATTTCCTGGAATACATTCGTTGAAGTGGGAAGCCCCTCCCTGAGTGTAGACGACACTGTCTCACAGGTTCCACCCCAGACTGAATGAAAAGCGCAAGCTGAGCACTGCACATCCCTAGAGAAGTTTCTGAAACGTCATCAGAAACATAGTCCAGGGCTGGAAAGATGGATCAATGGTTAAGAGCACTGACTGCTCTTGCAGAGGATCCAGGTTCAATTCCCAGCGTCCACATAACAGCTAACAACTGTCTATAACTCCAAGATCTGACACACTCACACAGACGTACATGCAAATAAAATAAAAATAAATAAATTATTTTAAAAAGGAAAGAAACATAGTCCATATTCCGTTCTCTGTGAGTTCAAGCCTAGGCTGGTCTACATAGTGAGTTCCAGGTCAACCACAAATACACAATGAGAACCTGAATTAAAAACAAAAAAAAAGGTGGGTGTCTCACCCCTAACCAAGGAGCTCTTTGCAACTGAACCCTACTGGCAAAGGGAAAATCAGTTTTGTGCGATGGAGTGTCACTGTGTATCACCTCAGTCCAGGGCAGACCCCATGCCCACAAGTAGTTAGCCAAAACAAAATGAAACCCAATGATACTTTTGTAAACATTTTGGTTTCATTTTGGTTTGTTTGAACTTTTTTTTTTTGTCTTATTGGTGTTTTGCTAGTTTGATTTTCTTTTTTGTGGGGCTTTTGTTTTTGTTTTTTGAAAGAGAGAGAAGGTAAGTTGGGTGGTTAGGGAGGGGGGAGGATCTGGGAGGAAGTGAAGGGGGAGAAAAACATGGTCAAAACATTTGGTTATGAAAAATTTAAAACTATTACATTGTAAAAAAAAGAAAGAAACAGCAAAGACATACTTTTCAACACTTTTCAAGAAAGGTGTAGTAGCTCACATCTTTAATCCCAGAATTTGGGAGGCAGAGGCAGGCAGACCTCTGTGAGTTCAAGGCCAGGCTGACCCACAGAGTGGGTTCAAAGACTCCAGGGCTACATAGTAAGACTCACTGTCTTAAAAACAAAACAAAAATCAGAAAACTATTTTCCACTGGGGTGGAGGGCTCAGTTGACAGAGGGCTCACTCAGCACAGGTAAGCCAAGAGCACACACTGAGCTTGGCTGTAGAGCCCTATAATCTCAGCACTCACTCAGGAAGCAGAAGCAAGAAGGTCAGGAGTTTTAAGACTAGCCTTAGCTACACAGCAAATTCAAGACCAGCCTGGGCTACATGGAAAACATTCCCACCCTGCCTGCCCCACACCCACAAAAAAAAAAAAAA